CTCTAGATTGCTTCTTTCCCTGTTTACTTATGCTTTCCTTCTGCAGCCTTCTCCCCACTCCTTTATTTTCTCCACCACTCTCTACCTGTCCATCTCTTTCTTCTTTCTCTAAATTCAGGCACTTAGCTGTTTTTCTTTCTTCTCTAAGCCATCGCCAGCAGCGAACACTCTTCTTTGTGCTTTTTTGTGCTCTTTTCTCCTCACTTCAGCTCCTAAATCCAGGCCAGCCTCTAAACTTCTCTTTCTCTCTCACTTTTAGGCCCTGATATAGAGGCTCAATAACCGGATAACTGATGCATGGAGCAAGTATTCGGGCCGACGGGACAAGTGTACCTTTTATAGCCATCACTGACATTTCAGATACAGACACTGTGGATGTTCTGCACTGTAAAATCAAATAAAATGCCTTCAATCCCTGCCTTCCCGTCAAACTCATCTACGAAAATAGTGCCAATGCATAGGCAGAACAACGATCAAAAATAGAGCGTGCGAATTCAGCGGGTGCAGTGTGAAATGGAAAGCTTCTCCTCCTACATGTTTCATTACAGCATCAAACATAGTCCCTCTCCACCCACACTCTCCATCGCAGCTTCGAATGCTCCAGTTTTTTTTTTTTTGCATCAATGGCAGCTTCGTGCTTTGCTGCATAAAAGAGAGACATTTTTCGCTTGCACTGTTTCACAATTTGCAATAGTAGAATCTACTTTAAGAAAAACAGCGCAAACGTGAACCATCGTCACCGAATCGCTGCTATCACGTCATGTTTTCCCTTCAGTTCTAATCTCTTTAAACTGCACCGGCTTGCCAAAACGCCGCCTCGGTCCGTCCTGTCAACACTGGAATCCAAACAATCGTCTTCTGCGAGCAGCAGACGTTTCAGAGACGCTAATATTTGCCGTTTAGGCGGTGAAAAGCATGTATTTATCTTGAGGTTGTGCCATTTCCATTATCCTGCTGCTGTTTACAGGTCTACACAGGGAGCCAAAAACCCACCCCCCACTCCAATCCACTCCCCCCCCCTACCCCCCTACAACCTTCTCACAGATTCTGTCTCAGCTCTGAGTGTGATGCTGAATCTGGAGAGACGGTTTTCTCCGTATGCGTGTGTGGGTGACAGAGTGAATAAACGGATGAAAGAATCCCTTCCAGCATATGAATGGGTGGAGGGGGAGGAGTGTGATATAGAGTGAGAGAGGGAGCGAGGGAGAGAGAGGAGGTGGATGAGAGACAGGGAGAGATGCAGAAGAGTGGAGGAGCAATACGGCGTGAAGAGAAAGAGGAGCGTGTGAGGCAGAGGCGGGTGAAAAGAGATGGAGCGGCATTAGAGAAAAGAGAAAAGAGAGAAGAGGAAAAAGAAAGCCGGAGGTGCTCGAGAAGGAGGACAAAGAAAAGATGTGCTTAGAGAACAAAGACAAGGTTCAAGTCAGAATGGCAGCACCGTGGAAGCCGATGGTTAACCCCTTAAACCGCAGGCTTCGTGTTCAGCTATTAGTCTTAGTCTGCATTACCTAAAGGGAAATTATGATCTTTTTATTATTGCTGCATAATTCAATTGGTGAGATGTAAACAAAGTCATACAAAGTGGTTTAAAGTGAAATGGTGCATTGGAGAGAAACTTATCAAATCTAGTCTGTATTCAGTGGTGGTGAGAGGAACCAGGCAGCACAACGTTTACAACACAAATATAGCCATTTTTAGTTTCTTTCCAAAATGACCAGTGGACCCTACATATGTCTTCTAAGTTATAAGTAAGGCTGACAATGACTAACTCTTTACATGACCAGGTTCCACCAGCATGCCCAAAGTTTTATTGCACACTTCTATAACCTAAGAATAGCTCAGCCAGTTTGCATTGAAGCCCCTGTAGTTACTGAATGATGAGCCTTAGTATGTGGTAAGCCTGGGATTAAAACAATGTCTCAGGCATCAGGCAACTTATAATCATCTCATGTAATATCTTTCTGGAACTTAGCATTATGTGGACGTCTGGTTCCTCTCACTACCACTGTGACCAATTCTGATTTCACGTCAGTGATTTCACTTCAGTCTCCTGTGAATTGAACTGTTTTCATCCTAAAGAATTGATTATGTAGAAATTTTAAAAAATCGGTGAAATTCTCCTACTTACTTACTACTACTATTATTCAATAACCATACTAATGAAAAAGAGAAATGTATTGAATTTCACATAAACAAAATATATGACATCAGCACAATCACTGCCAAAAGTATATAAACTGTAAGACAAAAGTGTGTCGATGTCATATATTTTATTCATGTGAATCTGCTCAGTAACAATTCATTAGAGAGAGAGAGAGCGAGAGAGAGAGAGAGAGAGGGAGAGAGAGAGAGGGAGAGAGAGAGAGGAGAGGCTACTGGATCTATGGGGTACACTCTTGCAAATAAAAGAGCCACAATATAGGTTCTTTGGGGTGAAACCATAGAACCACTTTTGGTTCCCTACAGAACCTTGTTCTGTAAATCAGATGTGTGAGTGTGAAGCTTTCCAAAGTTTAAGAACCTCCTTGATTTTAAAAGTTCTTGTCTTGGATGCATGGTTCTAGGAAAAAAACCTATAAGTACAGAACCATTGTGTGGAACATATATGTCTTATTTGAGGTTCTCCAAGGGATCATCTAAAGGATCTTTAGGATCTATAGGAAACCAGTGGCTTCAAAGAATCCCTTTTGATTCCATTTGCCACCTTTATTTATATTATTGTAAAGGTTCTATAGCACTTAATACATTTTTCCTAGAATTGTATATCCTAGCCAAGAACCATTTAGGAACATTTCTATCAGAGAGCACGCCAGGGCCTTTGAAAAGCTAAAATATTTGATCGGCCAGGGCAGAGGGCCTCGCTAATGAAAGCAGGCCTTGCAGGAGGGGGGGCTGGGGGAGTGGAGGCCATATATCCGAGAAAGGAGACAGTTCCTAGAATCAGCCCGCGTGGCCGCACATAGTTCAGGGGCAACATGATTAACCACCGGACGGGGAGTCGCTACTACAGCTGCACTATTAATAAAAGATAAGCCCCCCTCCCCCTTCCTGCCATCAGTTCCACTCCCTCCGCTCATAACCACACTCTCTCCTGCTTTATATATTTAATACTATCACAGCAGCACATACATAACCAACGTCTATTTGTGCAGTACCATAGAGGAGGATACCCCCCCTCTGTCCTGGGACTAGTGGCCAAATCCTTGACATTCCTGGCTGTCGGAGATGGATGGATGGCTATATTAGCTGCTAATATGACCCCCAAGTCAAACGCCGTCCTCTGGGTGAAGCAGATCAATTAGCCAAGGCTGTGAAATAACGACCCTCCAGGGACGATGTTCCGGGGAGACCCCCAGCACACTCGTGGCGCATTGATCTTCCTGATCACACCGTAGGTATCGTGCAATGGTGATAATTACGAGCTAGAGGTGTCGGAGCACTAAAGCAGAAATGAGTGCTGATGAGGATCAACTGGTGCGGCAGAGAACTCATCACAGGTGAATCACTGCAGAAAAGCACAGAGCGCTACTGTAAAGAGCACCACGAGTGAATAATAAGAGTATGAATGTATATATACACACATTAACGTGTATATATATATATATATATATATATATATATATATATATATATATGCGCACATAAATATTGGCTTTTTAATGTTGTTTGCTCCTTCAATGCCACTCATATATATTTACATATATACCTATACTTATATACACATTTATATATATTTATACATTGTAAAAATGGTACATTGTTGCCTTTAATATCTGTTAGTATTTCACTCTCACATAAAGCCTTGTGAAAGACTATGGCTGAAAATAATTTTCAGCTGAATATCCCAAATCAAAATGTACTTCATCCAGTAACTGTATGGCTATGAAGCTTATGTAAGCAGTTATAAAGCTGAAAATGTTCAAATCTTAAACAGGCTCTTGTGCTCTGACAAAAACTGAAATGTCAAATATTGAGTCACTCACTGTTGTGCTAAACGTTGTGGCGACCTTTTTCTCATGGTGCGCTGCACGTACACACACACACACATACATTACCACACCCCCTCCACACACACTCACACAGACACAGCCACCCTCCCTCGAAGTAGCCTTCATGGAATTTTTTTTTTTTCCACACGATGAGCAACAGAGTGCCAGAGCTGAGCCCGGACCGGCACTCTTCATGAGGTACACTCAACATCTCTCCATCCTCTCTGCTTTTCTATAAAACCACCACACTTTCATGCATAAAAGTCTTTAGGACTGTGCAATTAACACTTTGTTCTTCTAGTAAAGGCAGCAGTTATATATGGAAATATGAAAACCCAACCCTCTGGTTCTTTGCATGGTCTCCTCTATGATGGAAAACCTGTTGTTTCAAGAACCTTTTGAAAAAAATGGTTTGATAAACCACAAAAAAGGTTCTGCAATTGTTGCAAGTCTGGAGCTACATACAACCCTATTTGCTAAGAGTGTACAGTAAACCAGAATAGCTGCATATGAAACCATCAAATATAACCACATGCGCAGAACGAGCTGTGTATGGGACCAACACAAACTCCCAGTGCATCCAACAGATGCAGCCAATGAAACCAACAAATGCACCCCAACAAATGCCATCAATGCAACAATGAACTTGGCAAGAAAACTAACAAATCTATTTAGTATTACTGTTATTTATTTAACCTTGACTCCTTTACTATTTATTATCCTCATAAACTCCTCATACACTGCTGAACTTAATCTCAGTTGATGGAGGAGAGATTGAGACATCGAAACCAGCCTGATTGACAGGAAAAGGAGCAGACAGAAGGACTGATCTGTCCTCAAGTTTTGCCATATCTGCTTATATTTCACCCTCATTCAGAGCCTTATGAGGGAACGTGGCATCAAATAACGCTGAATGTTCTCCACCGAAGTAGTGATCCTTCAAAATCTCCAGTGGATGTACTCTAACGGAGCTCGTGTTCAAATCTAACGAAGGAAAGAGAGCCAGGGTACCTTTGTGCATGCCTGTGAAGCGGTCCTTCAGCACGGTGAGCTCGTAGATCTTGCCGAACTCCTCGAAGAGCGGCCGCAGGTCCTTCTCGTCCAGGTTGCGCGGGATTTGTCCCACGAAGAGCTTGATGGCGTCGTGGTCCTTCATGGGGATGGTGGCGCAGCTCGTGGGGCCGTGCGCGTGGCTTAGTCCGTTCACCAGCCCGCTCGCGCCGTCCGCCTGCCCGTTCGCCAAAGTTGCCATCTCTTCTCTTTCTGCGGCGCAGGAGCAGGAGCAGGAGGAGCAGGAGCAGGAGGAGGAGGAGGAGGAGGAGGAGGAGGAAGAGGAGGAGCAGGAGGAGGAGGAGGAGGGAAGGGGAGGGGAGGCGGGTGGCCGGGCTTTTAGCTCAGCGGTCTCGCGCGGCACCGGTGGCTCGAGGGGTCCTCTGGAGGAGCCGGGATGATCAAACACACACGCACGCGTGCGCGCACACACATACACATACACACACACACACACACACACAAGGGGGGAATGAGGAATAATGAGACGCGCACGGTCCTACGTCTAGTTTCAAAGCAAATATTTACATACACAGAAACACATGCACGCGCACACACGTACCATTGAGCAAGTTAAGCGTCGCGCGCGCGCTCGCTCACTCGTCCCGGTGGAAGCGGCGTGTGGTGGCTGTCTCTCTGTGCGCGCGAGCCCCCGTACAATAATTCACTCATTCACTTTCGTAAAAAAAGGGGGGGAAGAGACAGACAGAGAGAGAGAGAGAGAGAGAGAGAGAGAGAGAGAGAGAGAGAGAGAGAGAGAGACAGTCCGCGAGCCCCTCGTCTTTTTTTCCCTATTTACACCTCCGTCCCCCCTCTCGCTCCTGCTCCGAGCCTGCTACTCCTTTATTTATTTTTTTTTGCATTGGGAAGTCGGTGTGGTTGCTCCTCGCGGTTTAAACGGACAGGACGGGCTCAAGCACGCGCCTTACCGCGGGGGAGGCACGAGAGCGGAGCAGCTTCCACAAGCTCGCGCCCCGCGTGGCTCTGCGCCTCCTCTCCCCCTCTCGCTCTCCATTATACCACCACATGGTACGGTCCACCCAAGGAGGAGGGGGGAGGGACTATAAATAAAGTGAAATATCACAATTTTTGTGTAGTCCTTTGTGTGGTATCCCGCGAATGACGCACTAGACACACCGGCCAACGAACGGCACGCTTCTCTTTCGGCGTGATGAAATCAGAATTCTTTGTAAATAAATGAAAAAGACAGACCTACGTTACTAATAAAGCACCAGCCTGGCTGTTCTTTGTGCAGCACTCTCAGTCATACAGTCACACCAGACAGATATCATGAATTATGCTCGAGTTCACGTTTGCCTGATGTTTTGCAACCAGAGCGCGAGAATCAGTGCTGGAAAGATTACTGGTGGACAGCGCCAGTGCTGAAACCGTTTGGCTGAGTGTGGACAGCGCCAGTGCTGAGATCAGTCATATGAAAGGGTGTCAGCACTGAACATAGTCAAATACCCAGTGTCAGTTCTTAATAAAATCACATGAACAATGCTCACCTTGCATAAGTATCTTACAATACTGCCAGTACTGAACGCTGTCAGCACCGAGAACGCTCGGAGAAAACAGGCGCGGGGAACAGCGTCAGTACTCTATTGTCTCGTGTGGGCAGCATCAGTGCTGAAGGCAGTTACATAAAACCGTGTCTGTACTGAATATAGTCAGCTGGACAGCAATCAGTTCTGAATCTGGCCGCAAGAAAAAGCACGTGAAACAGCGTCTGTGTAGTTATTAGCCATAAATGCTACCAGCACTGAAAATGCTTCCATCAGTACTGAATATGAGCACTCGAAATAGTGTTACTAATGAATGCTACTAGCATGAAGCAGCGTCAGTACTGAATGTGCTGCTCTTAGTTCTGAAAAGACTTACACGAAGCAGCATCAGTACTGAAAACAAGAGCTAAATCTGAGCCCTCGGAATAGAGTTGGTACTGAAAATAGCATCAGTAGTGAATGTGCTGCTCTCAGTGCTGAAAATCATGCTCGCATGAAACAACAGCTCCTGGACAGCGTCGGTGCTGAAAAAGTGCGCGTGGACAGCGTCAGTGCTGAAAACCTGCGCGTGGACAGCGTCAGTTCTGAAAACCTGCGCGTGGACAGCGTCAGTGCTGAAAGCAGCAGCGTGAGGCAGGCTCGGGGCTGAATACAGGCGCGTGTGAGCGTGCACGATGTCAGTACTGAATATGTCCGCGTGCACAGCGCCTGGGAGAAGGATGGTCGCGTGAGGCGGCGTCAGCACAGAATATGGTCGTCAGTACTGAAAACGGCACGCCACGTCCACGAGCACGAGCGCGCTGACCGCAAACAAGAGCTCGAATGTTGTAGTTGCTGCTGCTGTTATTGTTTGTTAAATAAACAATAGTAATACGATCGCTTTGTGTATCGCACGAGAGAGAGAGTTCTCTACCTGTGCAGCGCGCGCTGCTCGGGCTGTTTCTGAGAAAAGACTGTGAGCTCCTCCGCGCGGCGCGTGCGGGCAGAGTTGAGCACGAGCACGAGCAGAGGCTCTCACACAGATGGAAAAGGAGCAGCTGTACGGTGTGTGTGTGTGTGTGTGTGTGTTGTGTGTGTGTGTGGGGGGGGGTGGGCTTACATGTATTATTATTATTGCCCACCTATAAAAAGTGGTCTGTGGTCAGCCATTAGAAATGAACTGTTGCCAGACTCGGACCGCACAAAGATGGTTATCAAGGGTTCTTTAGTACAGGGAATGGTTCTATCTATCTCTGTGTTGTGTATGGTTCTATATAGAACCTTTGTTGAAAATGGTTATTTTTAATAGCATCATAAAGGTCCTTGACATCATATAAATAGCAGAACCCTTTTACTGTGATATAGAACTATTTTCAAAAAGGTTCAATATAGAACCATATGCAACATATGAAGAACCGTTTCACCATGCAAAGAACCATTTAAGCATGAAATGGTTCTATTTAGGTCTCATGGTTCAAAATAGAACATGGCCTTTAATAAGGACCCTTGAAGAACCATATTTTTTAAAAGTGTAGAAGAGGGATGGTGAAAGAAGTGCTATGTTGCTGTTTCTGAGTTTTATGGACGCCTTAATGGACATCTGATGTGTGAAAGCAGATTTTAAGACAACACAATAGTGTTCAGCCTGATGCTTTACACATATGTGCAAACGGCCTTTTTTCCACACCAGAGCACGCGAGCACAGCTCTTTTTTCCCCATTTTTTGTTTTCTTTCTCATTCTGACAATGCCACACTGCTGTCTAGCTCGAAGCACCTGCTCATAATGATGTGAAATTGCAGGCTGCGCATGAGTCCCTGCTGAGCAATGGGCCTGGACCAAAAGAGGAGAGCATTTGTGTGCACAACACTGAGAGGAAAACGCAGACAGGTAGAGCCAATCAGATGGAGTTTTCATGCAAAGTTGAGCCACACGACTGTTACGAAACGACTCACCATTTCAGCATCTTTATTTGGATAGTCCACTTTGTGGAAGCTCACTGTGTCTTACATTAAAGAGCCCATATTCTACATATTTTCTTGTACTTGTTGTTTTTCGGGGTCCACTCACGACAGTGGTGTGATTTTACAAACAAAAACAATCATAATTCATTTTTGCATGATCATTTTCCAACCTGTCTGTTTCCCTTAGAATTATTGTTGTTGTGCCTTTAGGAGTGATATGTAAGTGACCTCTGTTGTGATTGGCTGCTCTCTATGTTGCCTCATTCAGAAAGCAGAACAGAAACATTTCAACTGACTTCAATGTGAAAGAGCTGAGCTAAACTGCTGTAGACTGAACAGGCAGATCTCTTGATTTTTGTGACATCACAAACAATGGCTTTAAAACGGGATATTTTGCAGCTTAGTTTCCACATATGGACTGTACAGACTGTGTTTACCAACAGTATTTACATACTATATCAAAGCCTTGTATCTCAAAAAGTAAGGAAAATTTTATACATTGGCCCTTTAATCTAAATAGCTATTAAATACAACCTAAATTTTCCATAGTCCTAGGGGTCGGCAACCCAAATGTTAAGAAGAAACATTTTATCCTTTCAACAAAAATCAAACCACTTTGGGAGCCACAACATTTTATGTCCACTTTATTGAATGTTTAACCAGACTGAAAATATGTCTTAATGTGTGCTAGTCTTAGTATAGACTAAAAATGTGAATGAAACACAGACTTACTTTGCTCTGCTTTAAGCTTTAGCTCAGCTATAGCCGCTTTTCTTGCATCTCCTGCAGGACACTTTTCCACAAAAGTAGAACAGTTTCTTGTAAAACGTCTCTCAACATTCAAATTTTTATGAGGCTGTAGTCGGCTTTTCACTCGCCAGCTTCTTGTTCAAATTTTCTTGTTCCACCTCAAATGTTGTCTGGGGCGCCAGAATGTAACTACTGCACCATTTAAGGTGCAACAAAAAAAATCGAAGCCAGAAAATGATAATTTGACTTCAGCCTTGTGACTTTTTAGTGTTTGACAATTTCTCATTGCAGATTATAATGCTTATAAATGCAAATAAGTCCATTTGTCTCCAAATTATCAATGTTTTTCTTTGCCGTTAGCTACTAGCTAGGCGAGACTGTTGTCTTTGTTGCTGTGGTGACCAGCAGTCTGCGCATGCCAACCTTTGGGATAAAAGGTTGGTGAATCAGCAGTTACACATTAACTCCAATGGTTTAAGAACATTTATTGTTAAAGCTGTGTTAAAACAATCAGCAGCGATTTATTTAACTGCAAAGGAGGATTATTTTATTTTTACCTAAAAAGCTAATTCTGCTATGGAGCCGCAACAGGGCAGCAAAAGAGCCACATGCAGCTCCGGAGCCACATGTTGCTGACCCCTGTCCTAAATGTTACACTCACTTTAATGTTAACCTTAAACCTTAAACCCTAACCAAGTTTTAAGCATTTGTAGATAAAACATGACCAAAATGTTACATCAATGTGCTTTTGTCTTTTTATTCACCTTTAGCAGGAATTGATGTCATGTATTTTATTCGTATGGAAATGATGTACACATTTAAAGCAAGTAAACTCAATACACCAGTTTTTTCAAACCCCAATCTGAATTGGAGCATACAGTGTAGCTTTAGTGCAATCAACTCACAGGGCTGGCTATGCATTACATGTAAATGAAGAGTGATTTCATGGACATTTTAGGGTGGGTTACTTCAGAATTGAGCTCACAGAGCAGCTATACATTTTAT